ACTCTTCCAGAGAGGGAAAGACTGAATTCCTCTTTATGGCCTGGCAAACAGAACCCAAACAAGTTGCAAAGCACATTTAAAACATTCTCGAATGGCCTACATCTTATAAAACAATAACTGAAAAATGCCAAAGTGGAACCAAACAGCTCCTATTTCAGTCTGCAGACTCCGAAATATGTAGTTTCAAAAATGCATTAAGTACAACTGGCTGCGTTTCTGCGGGCAGAGGCGTGAAACAGCATTTGGCATATGAGAGTCATTCCCATAAAGATGAGCCAGATAATAAGCAAATGATCGTTACCTCACATTATATGAAATGGAAAGAAGCCATTAATGCAGCATTACGGTCATAAATTCACACATTCAGAAGCCAACAAAATAAAACATTAGCTCTCAAAGCATCATTATCCCATCCAGGCTGCCACATTAACTGTACACACCAAAACTCTAACAAGTACTACCATTTGGGTGAAAGACTGAAGGGTGAAGCTTCCCATGTTCATGTTAACTTGTGTGTTTCTCACCTGGCCAAGGGCAGGTGTCTATTGCCAAAGCTCAAGGGGGCCCCGTCTGTCTGAGTCTGGGCATTCCCAGCAGCTGCTCAGATGCCCACAGACGGCTCTCTAAGCCCTCACTCAACACCAGGGCAGCACTAAGGGAAAGGCAATTGAATATCATCCTCAAGTTATTCTTCTGGGAACTTTTTGATCCTTGTATATGATTTAAGCCAGGTCTGGCCTACTTTCATAGGAAGTAAATTCAGAAAATGCTAGAGCCCCAAGCTTTAGAAATTCGCTACTCCCTTCTATTATTCTCAAAAGGATACTATGCAAACAGGACTCCTTATCTATCCTTACTGTTCCATTCATGGTATGTACATACATCTGTGTACGTTAGGAATAAAACCCATATCATGACAACTATCCATAAATTTATATATGCTTAACATAAACAAACATATTATACATGAATTTCTAAAATTGACCCATAGGATATAGGCAAGTATACTTTATTCATACATTCACTCATAAAAATCATTTTAATAGTTCTCAAGTGCCAATACTCACTTGATAGGGTCAAAATTTGTATGCCAAAAATTCTGTACCTACTATGAGTCAGACACCATGCTAGGCACTAGGAATAAAAAAATTAATTTAAATTTAGAAAAACATTGAGTAAGACAGGAGCTCTGCCTTTATAATTTAACTGTGAATTGGACAAGCAAATAAACAATTAGAAAAAGAAAGTAGATTAGGATCCAGTGAGAAAGGTTTCCAGAAGAACTGATGCTGGAACTAAAATATGTGCAACTACTTAAGTATAATGGTGGGAACTTCTAGGCAAAAGGAACTATTGGTACAAAGTCATAAAAAGAATGCTGGGACCCTGGCCGATTTTGCTCAGTGGTTAGAGCAGTGATGGCAAACCTATGACACGCGTGACAGAGGTGACATGCGAACTCATTTTTTTGGTTGATTTTTCTTTGTTAAATGGCATTTAAATATATAAAATAAATATCAAAAATATAAATCTTTGTTTTACTATGGTTGCAAATATCAAAAAATTTCTGTATGTGACACGGCACCAGAGTTAAGTTAGAGTTTTTCAAAATGCTAACACGCGGAGCTCAAAAGGTTCGCCATCACTGGGTTAGAGCGTCGGCCCAAGGACTGAAGGGTCGCAGGTTCAATACTGGTCAAGGACACATACCTCGTAGCTGGCCCCGGTCAGGCGCATGCAGGAGACAACCGACTGATGTGTCTCTCGCACATCGATGCTTCTCTCTCTGTCTCTCCCTCTCCCTTCCACTCTCTCTAAAAATCAATGGAAAAATATCCTCGGGTGAGGATTACCAAATCAAAACAAAAAAGCATGATGGGGTTGGAAAACCACAGACATGTGGCAGGGGGGATCCACAGGACAAACAGACTGTGAAAGGTCTCATGCCCTGAATTAGAAACTCTAACCTGCATTCTACAGTCAATGGCAAATGACTGACAGATTTTCCGCAGAGTAACAGCAGCAGCAGTAATAGCTTAATGTCTCCTAAGTACCTGCAAAGTGTCAGACGTTATGCTAAGAGCTTTATTCATATTTCGTATGCCCAGAGGTTAACATATTTACATAAGCTCACATAACTTTTCACAACCCCATCTATAACATCATACCCATATCACAGGTAATTGAGATGCAGAGAGGTAAGGGTACTTGTCCAAAGTCACCTATCTGGAGGACAGGGGAGCCAGATCTGAAGGTAACATGGTAATTCTCTTTTATGAGTGACCAATTGGGCAAGCTGTGCAAAGCTGGATTAGTGAAGAGCATCTAGAAGAAAACCGTCAGGAGACAGTCACGAGAAAGCAAGTGAAGATGTTAAAAGCCAGAACTGGGGCCCGAGGGCTGAGCGCAGGAGCAAGAGCCACCTAAACACACTCGCAGGCCCGCGTGGAGTCACCGGGGATGCTCCTCCACTGTGCCAGTCGGCACCACTGCAAAAACTCCCGTCTCTCTCCACCTGAGGGGCTGCAGACCTTCAGTCTAGGGAGCCGGTATCATGCCTCACTGCAGACATACACAGGGCCTAGGACAGCGCCTGGCACGCAGTGGCAAGCTTAATGTTTATTTGTTGAAGAAAGAAAGGAGAGAAAGAAAAAGAAGAAAAAAAATGTCTACATTTCCAGCTTGATACAGATAAGGGTACCACTGACCGTCCAGGGGATTGAGCAGAAGGAACAGATAACAGGGAGGGATAAGTTTTACATTTGCTTTAAGCCATAAAATGTATATCTTGTACGTCAAGAGAACTCCGTAATATAGAATTGTACCCCTGAAACTTGTATAATTTTATTAACCAATGTCACCCCAATAAACTCAATTTTTAATAAAAGAAAACTCTATAAGAACTCTATTACTACCTTATCCAATAGTACATGTGGATTATTTAAGAATACTGATTCTCTGACATACTAACAGAAAATCACCATTCATATGGGAACTCAAAACATTTTTAAAACATTTAATTCTTAATCTTCTCAATGCATTTGGATGGCTGAGAATGAGAAAAACTAGAAGAAAACTGGCCCCAGGCCACCAATGTGCATTTGACAAAGAGCTTCAAGACCAGCATCTCCATGGGGGGCTCGGGGAATCCTGTCTTTCACCATTTTGTACATTCCAAAACAATCGATGCCTCCCTTCTCCATGCTCGCTTCCACTGTCAAATATTCATTTCATCCTAACGCTGCTTTAAGATAAAACATGAGTGCCATGTTCTTCCAATTAAATGAGAAAATGCAGCGCCTGGGACGCAGTAAGGACACTGTAAATGTCTGTCATCACAACGACCAGGATTGTCATCATTACGATTCCCACAACTACCACCGCTAAACTAGCACAAGGTCATGCAGACGAACTGCAGGCCCTGTAAATAAGCAGAAGGAATGGGTGCACTCACCTAATCATGCCCTCTTACTGCCTTCCCGGTATACGCTTCCCAGCTGCCTTTTCACACACCGCTCCTGCAGATCAAACACCCACCCACCTCCCCCACCACTCCCACCCTCTACTCACTCTTAAGGCTGCTTTCCAAAAGTCACTTTTTCTCAACAATCTCATCTCACACTCTTGGTTAGAGACTCTCACCCAACTCTGTATTTTTCCTTCATCAGATCTGTCAAAGTTTACAATCATGTATTTGAGTGTCTGTATGAGGTACGGGACCACACCTTTTGCTCACAGTAATACCCCTAGTACCAGGAATGATTCACATTACATAAAACACACTCAGTAAATTCTTGCTGACTATATCAAAGAATGAGCAAATCCCAGACTTTTTTTTACTAGTATGTATCTGACCAACTGTTTTTTAAATATATTTTTATTGATTTCAGAGAGGAAGGGAAGGGGAGAGAGAGTTAGAAACATCAATGATGAGAGAGAATCACTGATTGGCTGCCTCCTGCACGTCCAATGGGGATCGAGCCCATAACCCGGGCATATGCCCTGACCAGGAATCAAACCGTGACTTCCTGGTTCATAGGTCAATGCTCAACCACTGAGCAACACTGGCCAGGCTTGTGCCACATCTGACCAACTCTTGATTTACACCAAAATATTTATTTCTTCATTGAATTCAAAATAAAAGACTACAGACACATACAAATACTTTATCACAAAACTGGCTTAGACTTTTTAAAAAGTTTCAATTTCATTCTGATCGATGATTCTCCTCAGAGGGAAGGTAGGGGAGGGTGGGGGTAAGGGGGAGAGGTCAACCAAAGGACTTGTATGCATGCATATAAGCCTAACCAATGGACACAGACAACAGGGGGGTGAGGGCATGAGTGGGGGGGTAATGGGAGGATAAGGACACATATGTAATACCTTAATCAATAAAGAAATTTAAAAAAAGAAAAAAAAATCTAGATTCAGATTTTTAAAAAAACCCTGTCCTCTTAGTAGTTTTATATTAATACTTAAGCAGCATTGAGGGGTTCAGTAAAAGTTTAAAATTTTTCTGGACAATAATGATTACCCAGTGTGGGGAAAGGCTAAGGTAAGAACAATGGCAAAAACAGAGGTTTCTTCTTTTCATTAAAGGTCTTGGGTCCCGAGTATGAAATAAATGAGCCTGTCAGCGTAGCATAAAAACCAGTGGAAAGGAAATATTTGGGGAAACACTTTGTAAAGTATATGATTGTCTAACCACTATGCTATACACCTGAAACTAATACAAAGTGATATTGAATGTAAACTGTAAATGAAAAGTAAAACACAGACTCAAAAAAAAGTTTCAATTTCAAATTTCTCCAAAATGCACATCCTAAAGCAAAATTAAGGTAGTAAAAGATATCAGTTAAGATTTTTTAAAATTTTAATAAGCAGTTTTAACAGTCTTTGTTAATAAATATTTATTTAATCTCTATTCTGACTTTTAAGAGATACTGTAAACTACTGCAGACTTGAAATTTTCATTTTTTAGAAATTTTGGAAACTCTTACCTTGACATTTCCCAATAATAGATGTAAAATCATCTTTGGCAGACCTGCAATGTATGCACAAAATGAAGACAATAGTTTTACATAACAACAGTATTGTGTACTACCATTCACCACCACAGATACTACAGACTGGACAACTTCTCTACACAGCACTAAATCATTCCTGCTCTTACAGACGGGGTTCTGTGCCTCAAATAAGACCCTTGCATTAGGGATACTACTTTCTTCCAACATTTCTTTTCATCAGGAATGGAGCTATAACAAGAATGAAGTGACATAAGCACAAGTGAGTTTAAACATAAAAATAACCAAAGTGTCTTTCAATAGATGACTGGATATGAAGATGTGGCACATGTATACAATGAAATACTACTGAGCCATAGAAAAGATGAAATACTGCCATTTGGGACAACATGGATGGACCTTGAGAATATCATGCTAAGCCAAATAAGTCAGTCAGAAAAAATCAAGAACCATATGATTTCACTCATATGTGGATTATAAAACTGAAAGCAACAAATGAACAAAGAAACAAACAAAAACTCATAGACACCAACATGCTGGTTATCAGAGGGAAGGGGGAGGAGGGGTCGTTAAGGGTAAAGGTTGTCAAAAGTGTGGTGACAGAAGATGATTTGACTTTGGGTGGTGGCCACACAGTGCAATCTACAGATGATATATCATAGAATTGCACACGTGAAACCTATATAATTTTATTAACCAATGTACCCCAATAAATTTAATTTTTGAAAAAAGGAGTCACACTATCAGCACAACTCTCAAAGAGATGCATTTCACATTGCTGCAACAAATGGGAGAGGAAATGCTAGCCCATCCTATGCATACGTGAGTTCAAACTCTGTACCCACATGGTGCTTAATCATACTGTTAAAGAAGAGGAACCCGCCTGGTACCGCCATGCCAAATTAATAATGTAGTTTTAAAAGGCTGTCATTATCGGCCCTGGCCAGGTAGCTCTGTTGGCTAAAGCATCATCCCAATACACCAAGGTTGTGGGTTCAATCTCCAGTCAGGGCACACACAAGAAGCAACCGATAAATGTATCAATAAGTGCAACAACATATTCATGTTTCTCTCTCTCTCCCTTCCTCTCTCTCTGTAAAATTAATAAAACAAATTTAAAAGGCTGTCAAACACCATATTGCTAATTAAATGATGAAGGATATTTTCTTAAAGGGGCATGTTCATCTTTCCACTTCCCCAGATCACTCTGCTGTCTTTTAAGGAACTTTACTTTCTCAGTAGACAATGTGTATTTTCCAGAACTCCGGAATCCACTCTTGTTGGACTGTGTGCTGTGAAGTCAGCTAAGCACATGCTCAGGAAGGTATGAAAAAGGAGGGGCCGCTTTGCTCCGTCGGCATCAAGCTGTATGTAGACGGACCGTGGGTCCGCACAAGACCAAGACACACTACTTGAGACCAGTGACATTCTGTTCTCTCGAGACATTCGGGGGCATTACGTACGCATCTAGAAGGCTTCTAAGCTGGGCTTTCCATGCGCTTTATTTTTAACTAATGTATCAGTGACAAAAGCGATAAAACAAATGCAACGAACTACGGAAGACCAGTTCATTCTTTGGGACATTAGGAACAGCAGGCAAAACATGTGGCGCCCTAAAATTGGGGACTACCTCTTGATCCAGACAAGGCCTAACTCCTGGTTCTCCAGAAAGAAGCAGTGAGGCAGAAACATGAGTTAATGGTAAAGTCCCTTTAAATGTGCCCCCTTTAAAACTCTTAGTTCTCATCCGTCAAGTAAAATGCTTCTCAGAGGACATTTTCAATATGAATATTAACAATTACCTGATCTCCACACACTGATCTTGAACAGCAGCCAAAAGCTTTCCATTGCTTTCATAGGGGAGAAAGAAGAAGAAAATCTGTATGCACATTTGTAACAGTCTTCCACACACATGGAGGGATTTTAAGAAGTTAAAATCATTTTTAAATGTTTTCATCTTTAGACCTTGAAATTAGATGACATTTGGTACAAAAGCAGGCAAAATGATTCAAATATAGCTTGAATTAACACATTTAAACAATGTGTCAAAAAAAATTTATATACAATAAATGTCAAGACTATTAAGCCATAAACACCCCAAAATGAATGCCATAATGAAATTTAAATGCTTACCCAGGTAGAGAAACATATGAATTTTATACATCCTTACCTTGCAAGGACCAAATGCCAGTTTATCTGTTTATTAACCAAGCGAACCAGTCCATCAGGGAGCAAAAAGGGTGCAGGGCTGAAACCACAACACACTAGTGAGCTTAAAATCTAATCGTGAAACACACACACACACACACACACACACACACACGCACACACGCACACACACGGCTGAAACCACAACACATTAGCGAGCTTAAAATCTAATTGTGAAAGACACACACACACACACACACACACGGCTGAAACCACAACACACTAGTGAGCTTAAAATCTAATTGTGAAAGACACACACACACACACACACACACACACACGCGGCTGAAACCACAACACATTAGCGAGCTTAAAATCTAATCGTGAAGGACACACACACACACACCCCAGAGGAAAAGCAGAAAACACTGGAGCTAGCCCTAGAGCAGAGCCAAAGGTCTCTTTCATAGAACTATATTATCTATCTTATCTCTGCAGCTTGTAAGATTAGACGTCCTCAAGGGAAAAGCAATCCAAAGTAAAGAATTCCATAAAACTATTCCTACATACATATCTAAAAGCTGAATTATATCCTTTGTCAGAATAATAATTTTTTGTTCCTTTGAGGACTCAAAATTAGCACTGTGCCTGAAAACACATATAACACTCAAAAGAATTCAAAAATACCCAAGAACTGAAAGCAAAAGAACCTTCTCTGATGCACGAGAGGGGATACGACAATAAGGACACAAAAGTTGTTTAAAAGCTTTGCAAGCTGCAGATCCCTCGTGTGGACATTCGAGATAAGGCGGAGAGCCTTCATCATTCAGGATAAGGCTCAGACGCACATCAGTGAAAGCACAAGTTGTCAGGAGACTATGTGAATAATGACTAAGGGAAGGAAATCACCCCAAGTCTGTAAGATACCCCGCCCGAGTGTGCCAAATATACGAAATGTCTATTTTATAAACTGGGTTCACCTATTATCAGCATCTATATCACAATTCAGTTCTGAAAACTTAAATCATAAACAGGACAAAATTGTATTTGATGTTCATACCGTTTCTCTGTGGAATTAATGACTCACCTGTACCAGATGTACTGGCGTAAAAATAATAAGCGATCTGTAAAAAGTAAATAAATAAATAGCAAAGCCAAATATTTCTTGTTGATAAAATCCAAAATACACTGTAGAATGAGTCATTACAAAACAGACTACAACTCTTAAAATAAGAGAATAAATATGTATTTTACAAGATCATATATTTGTTTATATTAAGTTCCAAGCTGGTGTATTCAAAACTTTGAAGTATTTCCTAACAGTACAAAAAGTAAAAGTGATTTGAAAAGGTAAATTTTGCCAAACAGGCTTTAATAAAACCATGGAGAAAAAAATCATAGTAATAGCCCTTTAAAACCAACGTATTTTTATTAAAAAATTAAGATACCATTTTATACTTTATAGTAAAAATTTAAATAATATCTAAAAATGGGGAAGTCCATGAAAACGAATTTCTAACACATTCTTGACAAATAATGTTTTATAGTATCTCATTTAAAACATATGTGCACGCAGTTAAGTGTATATCACTGGGTGAAGGTCTGAAGGATAACAGATTACCTGTGGGTGGCAAAATGAGTAATTTACTTACTCTAATTTGTGGTTACCTATATTCTCTAAGTTTTCTACAATAAATGTTATGACTCATATATATTTTCTGAATTTCCAGAACTTCAAAGCATTTATGATAACGAAAATTGCATATGCTAGCGATTCTTGTATCAGGAGATAAAATTATTTTACCTTTCTCAGAGAGTAAAGTTACAGTTAATTTCAAGTACTCAGCTCCTTGGAAACTGAATCTCCTCTTTATGAGTAGCTCACATTCACCAGTGTAAGAAGGATAGGCTTGCCCTAGCCGGTTTGGCTCAGTGGATAGAGCATCAGCCTGTGGACTGAAGGGTCCCGGGTTCGATTCCAGTCAAGGGCACATGCCCGGGTTGTGGGCTCGATCCCCAGTAGGGAGCGTGCAGGAGACAGCCGATCAATGATTCTCTCTCATCATTGATGTTTCTATCTCCCTCTCCCAGCCTCTCCAAGATCAATAAAAATATATTAAAAAAAAAAAAAAAAAAGGATATGCTTTGGGACCAGAAAGGCATGCAGTCAAATTCCAAATGAATGACCTTGGGCAAGCTTCCTCACCTAGCACATACACTCAGAGCAACACCAGCTTGCTGGCCTGGTAAAGCCTTGTACCAATACCCACAAGCCCTCCCAGCACCGCTCAGTGCGGCTAGTGCAATCCTGTGAGCACAGTGTACAGTCCGCCAGCAGTTAAAGAATGCCCTGGTTTGTCAATTTTGCAATTTAATTAACCCTGGCCCGATGTACCTGAAACATCATGTAAGCCACTTAAAACAGCCTGCACTGTCCTTTCACCGTCAATGTCCGCACTCTCTGAGGCTCAAACTCGGCTTGACTGTCTTCATTTCCTCCTGAACACATCCATCATGGCTAACTCAGGCCATACATTAGCTGTACGCTGCATTAAAAGTGTGTGCACATACACACATATACATGCAGACATATGTGTCTATATATACATATCATCTATCATGAAGATACATATATAAAATTAAAGTCAGGTAACATGTATGCTCGTCACTTTTATCAGGTTCTACATTAATACGTTAAGCGCCAAGCCTGTTTTGTCTTCCTTTCCATTTAACCTGCAATATCCGATTTCACCGATATGCTGGAGGCACCAGTGACCAACCAGTCTCGATGGACAGTGTCAGTCACTGGTGACTGACATGGCGCTTATCATGTTAAAAGTCTAAAAAACACATTTTTAACCCTTTTCGGTCCAACCTCGAGGCTGACTCGACAGACCAGGCGCTAGGAGCAGGTCCAACGTTGAGCAATAAGAACATTAAAAAGTTCAACATTCAATCCCGTCAATTAATTTGGACCAGACTGTTTGAATTCCAAAAATAACACTGGACCACAAAGGGTTAAATTCCTACACTTCCTAAAATGGCACAGATATGAATGAAATGGGGGGTGGGGGTTGGTGGGGGGGGAATTACCTGCTAGCCATATACTTAGATGTCTATAAATACATGTAGAAAAAATAAACAAGCCATCCGTACCTCGAACTGCTTTTGTGATGATGAAGGATGCACCATGTTTTCGATTGCCTCTAGGCTGCAGAAGGAAAAAAAAAAAAAAAAAAACTTACATTTGAGAATTTTCTAGCAATCCTTACACACTATGTAAAGTTCTATTTCTTTGTGGCTACTCAGAGCACTGGGTACAAATTACCAGTATTTAAAAACTACTCCTAGACAGAAACAGGTAGAAGCAGGCCTGGGGAAAGTGGGCGTACAAGTGAGCATAACGGAGTCACAGGCATCTGCGAGGATGAATCTTGCAGAGATAAGGGAGGATTCAGGCTGGAACTATTTCATATCAAAACGCCAGTCCAAAGACAAGAGAAGTCCAGGGCAAAGACCAGTTGGGGGCTAGAGAGGCCTAACCACGTTTTGCTTGCAAGAAAAGGGGTCATTTAGATTAAATATGTTCATGTCTGGAGACAAATGCACTGAATGTTTTATATCCACAGAGAAAATGCTAGTGGGGCCCACACTGATATATAATTGCTACATTAAATAGTTAAGTTTATTTCAAACAGGCTGTTTGGGCTAAACAATTCTAGGCACTACACATGCTGAGTGCCATGAGGTTTCAATGTAAGTTGATGCTGTGCTTATTTTTTTAAATCAATGTATAACGTTAAGTATTCTGAATCATTGTTGTTATTAACCAATGAGTGCTAAAGGGGCAGAAACTTATCCAACCAACAGCAGCAGTGGCTGCTTCCTGGCTGCATAACCTATAAAATATTCACACCGGTAAAAAACAAAGAGAAACTAAATAAATACCTGAAAAACAGTAATATATACAGATCTCTGCCCAGCCTACAAAATACGTTATTCGCGACGAGCAGAAACTGCAACGGGAAGGTTAAAGAGAAAGACAAACTGCACAGGAGAATGAGTAGTTTCTCCGGTACAGAAACACTTTTGAAAGATTTTGTAGAAGAGAATCTATATGGCCTGGACTCCGTGATCTTTGGTAAAAGTCCTTTTCCATCTTGCTGCACCCTCTGAGTCTGAACCCGTGCGGGCACAGGTGAGGCTCTCAATACACATCTGTGTGCTTCCTCTCTTCACCCTGCGGCCTGGCAGGTCCTCTCTGGGAACTGACAACCCCAGGTCCACGTCAGGTTACCAAGCCCCAGTGACCCAAGTACTTCTCCCAACAGCTGTCTTTTTATCAAATCCTCAATTGCAAACACCAGACTTCCCTCCCCACAGAGAACCCAGCCCGTGGCAGCCGCGCCTCACTCTTCACACCTGAGGCTATTTCTGCGCTGATGGCTTGGGGGGGGGGGGGGGAAATGTTGACCGATTGTCTCCCCTCCACACTGCAAGCCCCGCGCAAGTGCTTCACCTGGGCGCCCAGCACCGGGCGCGGTACCTGGGACACGGGCCCACACACACCTGCACGTGGTAAGTGCTTGTTGAGTGAAATACTCAAGAGCGGGCGCAACTCAGCTCCCGGCGGGAGTGAAGGCTTGACGCCCGCTCCGTGGCAGCCCGCCGGAAGGTCCACGGACTCTGGGTCCCGCTGCAGGAGGGCCCGCCCGGGAGGGGAGGGGACACGCAGTCACGGGTGAGAGGGGTCCTGGCGTCAGATGCTGCAGCCCCCTCCCAGCACCGCCCGGGACAGAACCAGAGCCCGCGGTGCCGCCCGGGACAGAACCAGAGTCCGCGGTGCCGTCCGGGACAGAACCAGAACCCGCAGTGCCGCCCGGGACAGAACCAGAGTCCGCGGTGCCGTCCGGGACAGAACCAGAGTTCGCGGTACCGCCCGGGACAGAACCAGAACCCGCAGTGCCGCCCGAGACAGAACCAGAGTTCGCGCGGTGCCGTCCGGGACAGAACCAGAGCCCGCGGTGCCGCCTGGCCACACCAAGCCCGGCTCTTGGACCCAGACCCCTGCCCACCCGCCGCGCCGTTGCTAGGCAACGAGACGCGCGGCCAGGCCCAGCTCCCCCGCCCACCAGCACCGCCACCCTACGTGGCCCTTCCTACGTGGCTCTGCCCGGGCGCCGTCGCGCCAAGCGGGCCCCGGGTCTAGAGGAGCCCGGTTCACCTGCACTTCTGTCTCCGGGGGCCACTCGGTGTTGACCAGCAAGTCATAGAGTATCGTCTCCTCCTCGCCCTCCGCGGCGCCGGGAGTGACAGCCGGCGCGGACTCGGAGGACGCCATGTTGTCCGGGCCTGGCAGCGGAGGGAGCCACACTACGGCCGCCCGCGAGGGACAAGCTTCCCCGACCGCGACCGCTCTTCCTGCCCGGGGGAAGGGGCGGAGTCTACTGGCCTGAAATGTTAGGTTAACCCCGTCGTGCCTGGGAAGTACGAGGACTGTGGCTTGTCTGGGATATGACTGGATTTCTCTGCGCTCCTTGGGTCTTCATCTGCGTGCGATCAGCCAAGTCTGCACCTCTCTTCCCCCGCCAGCTTCTGTAACATGAAAATGGTAAAAAGGCCCCCCCTGAGATGCTAGCATTCCTCTATGGGTTTGTTGCCTAATACATGGAAAGATGGCAAGTAGTGTTTTTTTAAATAAGCACCCAGAAGTCAGGCGACGCCACAGGTTAAGCCAATCACAGGTATCAAAGGAATGATGCCACAGAAGCTGGGAAAGGCGGTGAGGGCCAGCGGGGTCTGTGCTTAGTTTTTGCGGAGGGCAAAAAACTGGGGGATGACAAGTGTTAGGGAAAAGAACACAGAAGGTGAGGGGGATCTGGGAACCCGAGTTCAGGGAAGGTGATTGCAAATTTAAAAAATTGTCACTATCTATCCGGAGACAGCACAGATCCCACAGGCTCAGGGCCCAGTCCCACAAGACTGCCCACCCCCAACCGGACCCACCTCCCAACACACACACCACAGATGCCAGATGGAAACCCAGGTTACCACCTGTGCTTCTGACAAATCGACTGTAGATCAGAGATTTCCAAGACTTCCTTCGTGGATTCCAGTCATTTGCTAGAGCAGCTCACAGAACCCCTTTTATAAAGGATATGATGAGCGGCTAGATACATAGGGTCCCTTAACAATATCCTCAGAGTTTATAACAGTGCCTGGAACAGAGCACAGGACAAAATATATATTATTTGTTGAATAAACGAAAAACTGTCCAGAAAACCTATTTGACACATTGTATCCCGAAGGACTTCTCCCAACAGCTGTCTTTTTCTCAAATCCTCCATTGCAAACACCAGACTTCCCTCCCCATCCCCCCAGGGCTGACAAGGTGCCCAGCTTCTCAGGTGGTAGGCTGTAGAACGTGAGCAGGTAGGGACGCCATTCACTGGGGAAGCAGGAGGAGTGGCCCCTAGGCTGGGACATGGCCTCAGCACTGTCCCTTCCCATTTCTGCACACCAAGTTCCCGGTCTCATCCTTTCTCCGATAGAAGTGGGGTTGCTTTCTGCGTCATCCATTCTCTTCATCACTGACCAGCACCATCACAGCCAGGAAGTGGCTGGCCAAACCCACCAAGGATGCTTCCTTCTTAGCTGTGAAGGGGACAATCGCAAATACACCACCAAGAGGTGTTTCTCCTCTGCCATCACCACATTATGTTAATTCCTGTGTTCATCCTCACCCTTCCCCATTTGCTACCCGATTTGTATAACAGAACAGGAACCCTAAGGCCATGCCTGACTGACTCCTGGGGGCTTATGTTGTTGTGCTGACACTACCACACCTGGAAAGTGACTATGCATTTAACAGGGAGCCATTCCCGGGAGGGAAATTCTGCCAGAAGTGCTCTGAGCACAGGGGCAGGCTAGGAAGCCTTCTCCACTGTTTAAAACCCAGAAGAGTGCCTGGGTGCGGTGACCACAAAAGGGAAGCAGGTGGTAAGAATACGAGCGTGCGTGAGAAGAGCTGTCCTGTAGAATGCCGGATGTTGGGGCTGGAAAAGAAGAGGCAGAAAAGCGATCAAGGTTCAACAGGAAGGTTTCAGGCAGGCTGCGTGGCTGAAGTCCAACTGCTAGCTGGTCTTACTTACACTGACTGTACAGGTAGAGTGAGTTGTCCAAACTGAGAAACTTTTGAGAGTGAAAAAGATGATTTTAATAATGAAAACATACCCATTTTCACAAGAAGTCATCTCATTTTTATAAGCCTTTGATGAGGGGAAGGAAAAAAAAACGGAAAAATGTTCCCATTTTTTTCTATTCTCATAGCATACCAAGTATGCCTCAACGGAACTAAATTTCTACCTGATTATTTCTAATACCTGACATCTTTAAAGATCTTTGTGTGTTTTTTTTTCTCCTGACTCTTGCTCATGGTGGCTTGTTTCTTTATGAGAGAGAGAGAGAGAGAGAGAGAGAGAGAGAGAGAGAATGTGTGTGTGTGTGTACCTTGTTTGCTCATAAGCTTTAAAATCCAACCTGTGAGCATTTTTCAAGCCAAGGGGTTAGAGGGTCCCTTCCCCCCGGAAAACTTGCCTTCACTTTCACAAGTACCTGTGAGACTTGGGTCCACTAAGATTCTAAATTATTTCAAAAGTTACAAATGGTGCTGCGCTAAGTATGGCCCGGGGTGAACCTGAGGGGGCGCAGTGAAGGATTAAAGAATACAAGAGAATAAAGCCTGGGCTAGATGGGACCCTGCTCTCTGATGGAGAGACAGTGCCACCACCTGCAAGCCGAGTCTTTATTTTATAGCCAGATTCCACGAGGCAAAGTAAGGGCGAGATCAAGATCTTTACAATGTTCTTGCGGGTTTCGAATCTACTCAATTACCTGCACCTGATCAAGCTTTGTTTTGGCAGCACTTGCTGCACCTCCCGCAGCCCATATCACTCAGCCACGTGGGACCACAGGTTCAGACCATAAGGTCAAGCTTACAGCCATAGCCTTTGGCCATAATTGTGCTGGGAGGGCTTTGCCTTCCAAGCTGGGACTTGCACGTGGCTTTGCCACGAGAGGACTGTGCCCTCTCATTAGTCCGAGGCTTGAACCTGTCCAAACGCTATAGCCACTCTCCACAACAAATAATGTAAATTCAGGCCCCAAACTTGCAAAAGGACCAGACTGTTTTCACAAATCTTCACAGACTTTTACATCCACTTGGATCCCAGGCTGAGTGGACAAGTCTGGTTGCTGTCTGACTCGGTTTTATGAGGTTTTCTTTTCACTGTGTAGCTCTTCTCAGGCCCGACCTTTATGTGGGGCGGTCAGTGACCCAACACCCTTCCCTTCACAGATCCCTGGCTTTGACCTGGCCTCCCCCTCCCACCCTACCTCAGCCCTGAGATCAAATCTCCACCCCCCTCCCCCAAGCAACTGATGATGTCACTGCTTGCTTCTATGGACTCTTCTGCCTATTGCCTGGAATCAGGGTTTCCTTTACTTTCTGACAAATTCATCCATTCATTTTTTAATATATTTTTCATATATTTTTATTGATTTCAGAGAGGAAGGGAGAGGGAGAGAGAGATAGAAACATCAATGATGAGAGAGAATCGTAGATTGGCTGCCTCTTGCACACCCCCCACTGGGGATTGAGCCCTCAACCTGGACTGTGCTCTGACCAGGAATTGAACTGCGACATCCTGATTCATAGGTCGACACTCAAAACCACTGAGTGTCCACCAGCTGGGCTCATGGGTTCATTTTTAAGGTTGTGGTTTTGTTTTTACGGGTTAGCGAGTCCTCTGGGCGTTTGTGGGAGTCTTTCAGGATGTCCTGTCTGACAGATTTCCAGAAGTGAAACACCCTGAACCTCAGAGAGGGAAGCCCAAGGGGGAAGGCTTTCTTGGAATTTGGCCACAAACAGCCCTGCAGCTCCCAGGTGCGCAGGCCACACCGGCAGGTCCACGAGGCACCACAGCGGCTCCAAAGGGGCGGACTGGCAGCGCCCAGGAGGAATGCACGTGTTTGCCAACACGCACAAGACGCCTCCGGGCTCCCCAGCAGGGTCTGGTAGGGGAGTTTACAAAAGACTGAGGCTCCCGTGTCACCACCTGGAGCAGGACCAGTGACATGACAGTGTTTCCCGTTACAGCGATGACTACCATTCATGTCCACAGTCTGGGGTCGCCTGGGGAGTCTCAGATAACACTGATCCTTCAAAAATCCCATAGGCAGCTACAAAACCAAAATACTGTAATTCTTTGCAGACAGGGACAATGGCTTTTTAAAGCCAGGTTGCAGGTAGGCCCTGAGTACTACAATTGTATTGACTGCATGAATTATTCATGGTTATGTTGAGGCTATTCCAGATTAACCCTTTTGGCTTAAAAAAGAGAGACTGCAGCTTTAAAAAATCATTTATTTCCTCCAGCAAAATAATCGAGATTCAAGAAAATGTTCTCCCCATAAGTGGATCATTCGTGAGCTCTGATTTTTTTCTCCGGTGGTAATGAAATTATGGCCAAGTCCTTCACTTTATCCTTGAGCTTCCTCTAATAAAAAACGACAGGGGAAACATTAACCAACAGAACAAGGACTCAGTGAAGCCGATGAGGAATTAATAATGTGTTTTGATAAGGCCAAGTACTAACTGAACATGTAGAAGCTATTAAAACATTAGGACCCGACCTCTCTGGCAAAGCTAAATTAAACACCAAGGATTACGGACCATTGGCGGTGGAATTATGAAATGTCTCTCCACTTTAATGATGTTCGCTCCTCGGTGGAATTTCATGCCGCAAACTGTTTCCCGTTGAAGTCCTCATCATTTTCGGTTTCTGTCCAGATAAAAATGAATGCCCAATATCAAATTCTTACAGTTTTTAAAGTCTACCTTGTTATTTAAATGCAATTTTAACCCAGGAAAGACATACATTAATGATTTAAAAGGACGCCTGGCAGCCAAATTAAGCCCTGAAGGAATTAACTAACTAAATAAATAAATAAAAGTTAAAGGCATTTAGGGAGAGACAAAAGTCTTTACCAGTCTTAAGTAACCAAGTAAGGCAGTGGTTCTCAACCTTGGCTGCACATTAGAGTCACCTGGGAATCTTTTTAAGATCCTGATTTCTGGGCCTCATCCTCTGGAAATTCCGTTTCTTTGTGATGGGGTGGGGCCACAACATTAGTAACAAAGAAATAACAATTTCCGGAGGATGAGGCCCAGAAATCAGGATTTTAAAAAGATTCCCAGGTGACTCTAATGTGCAGCCAAGGTTGAGAACCACTGAAATAAGAGAAAAGTATGTTGAAGTTAAATGTACCACCGTGCTAGAAATTTCTCTAGAACTGACATTGAACCTCAGGGGTAAAACTCAACAGTGTGGCCATAAGCACACAGGTGTGGAATGTCATTTCTTCTCCCCCCTGATCTTGACCTGTGCAGTCTTCCAGGTCCTCCTCCTGCCTCCGGCGTAGACTCTCGGAAAGGCGTGAACAGACCTTGTTCTGAACCATAGCTCTGTGACGGACTCTTCGATGGCCTGGCACAGATCAATCCGTCTGCGCTTTGGTTCCCTAATCCGCGGAGTTGGGGGGACGTAAGATTCTCTCCCTAACCGAACTCCAGCCAGGCTCCTCCGAGCCCCCTTCTCCCCGAGGTCTCGGTCTGGGCCCATTAGAAACTACAGATTCTCAGCACAAATGATTTTGTCCGCTCCCTGCCCCCTACATGTAAAAGATTTACATCCTGGTTTCTGACAGCTCAGGATGTTAGGCTGGTCCTAACCACAGCCCCCCTCCCCTCCTCCAAGTCCCTGCCTGGGAAGGTTCAAGGCTCCCAAAAGAACTGACTGTTCTTCCTACCCAACACCTGACATAGGCCCCTGAGACCCTTTCTTGGAGCTGTCAATAAAAGGAGCTTACAGTTGTGAATTCTTCTTCCATCCCTTTGAGATGGCTATGGGTCTCCCACACTCAGGAGTGTCTTCCTTGAGGGCCTGGAAGCCATCCCTCTGAATGCCAAGCTCTGGAGAACTCTCAAGCACGGCCACGCCCACGCCCACGTATACCCTGTCCCACCGGCTTTCCTTCCAATGACATATGGACACTCCCCCTTCGGGTGGTGGGATCGATGATCCCCTTGAACCTGAGCAGGGCTCTGTAACTGCCTCGGGAAGAACACGGGAGGAAGTGACACCGCTGGACGTCTGAAGCTTGGTCACATGGAGTACAACCGCCATGCTGTGGGGAAGCCCAGGCCACATGGAGGCGCCCCAGCTAGGGTCTCGGCACAGGATCAGCCATCATCTGAGTGAAGAGACCGTCAAATGAGCCCAACCCCTCGCCTGGGAGTCTTTCAGTTGAGGTGCTAGGAATTGAGGAACAGACATAAGCCATTCCTGCTGTGCCAGGTCCACCCGCCTCCCTCCTCCCCCCACCGACAGAATCTATGAGCATGACACATGGATGGTTTATGCCACTGACATTTGGGGGTAATTTGTTATGTAGCCATAGTAACCGGAACATCGTTGTTCAGAGCTACCCTTGCAGTGCAGCAGCTTTCCCACGTTCCCAGTCTTATTGTAACATCATCGGTACCTAAGCCCAGGCAGTATAAATTTCCATATGGAAATTAGTTTCTCTGGGCATTTTTTAAAATTCTTGACCTGCCCGGCTGGCGTGGCTCAGTGGTTGAGTGTCGACCTATGAACCAGGAGGTCATGGTTTGATTCCTGGTCAGGGCACATGCCCTGGCTGTGGGCTTGATCCCCAGTGTGGGACATGCAGGAGGCAGCAGATCAATCATTCTCTCTCATCATGGATGTTTCTCTCTCTCTCTCTCTCCCTTCCTCTCTGAAATCCACAAAAAATATATGTTTTTTAAATCTTGACCATCTTTACCCCCTCCTCCCATTTTTAAAGTATATCACGTTGTCTTGTTTCGGTCTGCATTAAATAAAAACCCAAGCCTCTGCTAACAGGAAAAGCTGTGATCAGTCTTCACAGACGGGAAGGAGGGAGGGTGAAGCAAGGACGCTGGGCGGAGGCTGAGAAGACAGGCCCGCGGCCTGTGTGTGATGCACAGCGAGTCTCTCCTGCAGGTCACGGGACTCGAGGGTCCTGGCAGAGCTGGGGCGGCTGCATTCAGACCACTTATTCGTCTGGAGCACAGTCTGTTCTTAAACACCGACCACCTCCAGGCCAAGTTCTCCTGTTCAGACTCCGAAGGCAGTACCATTTCCCCAAGAGCCATCAGCATCAGTCACAGGGGCTGAGGAGCGCGCAGGGTGGCGGGGGTGGGACAGGGAGTGACATTCAGGCCCGCCCGCCAGTCAGCACCCCACCGTCAATCACGTCCCTGCCCGGCTGGCTTCTAATGAGCCCGCCACCGTGAGTGAGGTCTCTCTTTCTGTTTTACGGCCCCGCTGAAACTCATCGCGGGCTGTCCTTTGTCTCTCTCTCCCCATATATCTGGAGTGATGGGCTTTATGGCCACTTCTTCGGGGAGAGAGAATTATAGAGCTCCGGATTTATGTCTGTTTGCCGGGCCCCCTCCGGCCCACGCACTGCAAGGTGAAAGCTGGGGCAGCGCAAACAATGGCGCCCTCTCATAGATCTGGCCCAGTTGCTGACAGCTTATTTTGACAAAGGCATAAAATTCAATGACTCTGGCTCAGCCGAGAAGCTGGAGGAAATTCAGAGGGGAAAAAGAGGATGTTTAAACGTGAGCCATCTCCAAACTGCTCTCTGAATCAGGTAAATTGTGAAAAATAGGCTAAGTAAGCTGAGCCAACAAATTTAATGGCAACAATAGCTGGGGTAGAAGGGACGTGATTTATCCCCGAGGCCACTGTACAAAATACCTTTCCCTGATATGGAGGGATTATCACCGGCTACATGAACAGATACCGAGTCGTCAGGGAAGACGTGGGGCGTGGGGGCCTCCAATGAGCCTTGTCTACCTGCCCTCACACCTCTGTGTATTTCCACGCTGAATGGGCACCTGTGACCAATAATATATTGCAGAAGTGACAGTGGGTGGCTTTGATGGCTAGGTCATAAAAGATATCCCTCACTCGGCTTTATTCTCAAGCTCACTTGTTTTGGTGGCCAGGGGGTAGGGCAGGGGTGCCAGCAGCCATCTCCTGAGAACCTTCCAGCAGCCCAGGATGAGGTCCCTGCTGGACGGTCACGAGGGCCAGCTGCCTTTACCAGCTGAGCCGCCCTCAGCAGCCTCAGATGCTTGCAGTCCCGGCCAGGAGCCCAGCCAAGCGGCTCCTGCACTCCCTCGCCATGCAAGTGGCAAGGGATCATGAGTGTTTGCACTCTGAGTCACTAGATTTTGAGGCGATTTGTCCTGTAGCAAGAGATAACTAATGCGGGCATGTAATGAGGATTACCTTCAGCCAAGTGGGGCAGAAACACAGGTAAGAACCCGAAAGCCACAGTTTCGGCTAGCACGGCACTCCTGGGTGCCAGGGACTCAAGACCCTTCTCTTGTTTCGTTCCGCTGTCCTCAGTACATGGGTCTCTTCTCATGGTCCAATATGGCTGCTCCGGCACCAGCCGTCACATCCCTATTCCAGCCAACAGGACGGAGGAAGAGCAAGGAGGACATGCCCTCTCCCTTAAGGACACTTCTGTTTACAGGCCACAGGCAAGAACGCAGGGGGATGGCCGTGCTGAGCTATCAGGGGAGGCTGGGAAAGGAAGTCTTTATTCTGGGCAGCCGTATATCCAGCTGAAAGCCAGAAATTTAAGGAAAAGGAGAAATAATTATTGGGGCAAACTAGCAGTTTGGAGATTGACATTAATCAGGATTTGCTGCAAGGTGCTAGCTGAGCTGAATAGGAATGAGACAGCAAGGGGGAAGGGGACTGTGTGCCTTTGGGATGACTGGGCCACAGAGCCCTTCCCAGGGCCTATCCTCCTTCACTGCCCTGGGCAACTGAAGGGCATATTTCTGAAGTCTGTCCTCAGAGTAGCAAAACCACATGTTCAGCAGCGAGCTATCGATAGCTTACTTGAAAATACAGAGCACAATCTTCTGGGTCCATGGATAACATAGTGAAATTACTGTGATATCCTGGGGTCCAAAAGATCCAACGTGTAAGATGTGGGGTGATTGTGCAGTTACAGAAATACGCTGGGGGAGGGGGTACCAGAGAAGTCCCAAGCTGGGAGTTTTAACACAGGTTCAAATGTCACCTGGCTCAGCTGCACTGTGGCGCCACCTAGTGGCAGTTGTCTTCCCACCTAGCTATGTAGCTGCGTTTCTGGGACCAGGTAAGGGGATTGATTCCAGGCCTGTCTCCAGGTTAGCAGGTGCCCATTTAATCAGCCTGCTCTGGGGAGAGTGGACCAGAAAGATACTGGACTGGGGGTACCCATACTTTATGGTTTGGTGAAAGGGTTGCCTGCTACTTCTCTGCTTGGTCTTGTCCTACCTGCCAAGGAGGATAGCCAATCACATTTTGTCCCAATTCACATTATTGAGGGCGTTAGCACTCTCTCTCTCAATCTCTCTCTCTCTCTCTCTCTCTCTCTCTCTCTCTCATTTATATGTATTAAAGCAGTATATTAAATGAGTTAAACTTGATACATCATAAGCAGAAAACATTTCCCATTACCCTGAAACCCTCTCTCTGGGCTATTTCTTTCCCTGGCCTAGATGGAGCCTCTATGTTCCAGGGCTTTTCTGGTCACTCTCAGATAGTGAAAAGTTGTCTGGTTACACTCACCACCAGTATAGCCACATATCTGCACTTAAACAGTGCAGTGATACAAATCCACAACTTTAACCAAAACTATAGCCTCTCCCCGTCCCTCCCGTCCCCCCCCCCCTCCCGCAGCTTGCAATGAGGTGGAGGGTGTGGTCAGGCTTTCTCTGCCCACCCCTCTCCCACTAGCTGCTGTTTCTGAGCCTGCCTGGGGCGGGGGCGGGGGACAGATGAGGTGGGGGAGATACCCACCTTCACTTGGTGCCATGGTGATGCGCTGCTGTGCTCTCTGGCTCCATCGCACTCAAGGCTGATTCTTCCACTCTGTGGGTACTTTTTGAGATTATCTTGGAGATTCTTCTGCTGGTCTTCTCCAAGGGCCACTTACACGAGGCAGGTGATAGATGCCTGTCCTCCAGTTATAAGATGCACACAGCTGGGTTCTTGGGGGGGGGCTGTCTGTGTGATGCATCATGGAGCTTCTCTAGGCAGCTCTCTTGGGCACATTCTGTGTGCAGAGAGCTGCAGGTCCACTCTCCAAGGCCCAGCTGGCCCTCAGAGGAGAAAGCCACGTGTTCGGAGACGTGGTCTGCTTCCCCAGCAGCCCTCCCCCCTCCCTCTGTCTCTTTTCCCGCCCAGCCACCTCGAAGCTCGCTAGCCATAGCCTCTCGTTGCATGGCTCTGCTTCCCAGACTCCGGACCAAAAGGCCCCTGAGCAGCCCCCTGGCAAACGCTTTCTCCTCTGAGGGAGGAAACACGCCCAGTGCTTCAACGACTCTCTTCAGAAAAGCTTTTCTCTAACTTGCACCTTCAAGCCTTTTATATGTTTAAGACGGGGATTGGCTCAAGGCACAAGAATCAGGTTTCCGATTCCCCTTTTGCCCGTCCCCCACAATCTGTGATCTGTGCCTGTCTTTGGAATGTGGGGTACATGGATCTTTTCAGAACAGATACATTGAATAATTTCAGGGGTTATCACTCATGTAAACTTATATGACATACAAGGAGGATATAAAACACAGTGTGAAGGTGGCCCTGGAGGTGGGAAGCTGCTGGCCTGATGTGTCATCCTCGGCTGTTGGAGTGTCAGGTGAATCCTGTTATATGTAACAAGAGGCCCGGTGCACGAAATTTGTGTGTGTGTGTGGGGGTGGCCTGTCCCTAAGCCTGGCCTGCACCCTCTCCAATCCAGGACCCCTCGGGGCATGTCCGACTGCCTCTCACAATCTGGGACTGCTGGCTCCTAACCACTCACCTATCAGCCTGCCTGATTGCCCCTAACCCCTCTGCCTGCCTTCCTGATCACCCCCTAACCACCTCTGACTGCCTGCCTGATCACCCCTAGATCACCCCTAACCGCCTCTGCCTCATCCCGCACCCAGGACCCAGGATTCCCTCCTCTGTACAGTCGCAGGCACCTGGGACCTGGGCCGGCTTCGCCCAGGCTGGCTGCAGCCACAGGGGACCATGGGCAGGTGGCTTATCCCTCTCCTGGGCCACAGGCGCAGCCACCGGCACCTGGGACCGCAGGGTGTGCAGCTTGTCCCTCTCCCGGGCAGCAGCCTGGCTGGTCCCCATTCCTCTCTCCCCAGCGTTGAGTGTCTGAGCTGTTATGGCCTGACTGCGCGAGGGCATGATGACCATTTGCATATTACTCTTTATTATATAGATTATATAGATAATAACTGTAGAGCTGACACTTACCTATTGTTGGCATGTGCTGCTATGCACTCTTTTAGGGGCTTTGCCTACTTTATTCCATCCACATAACAATCCTACCAGATCGGTACTACTTCTCAAGACTGTTTTACAGATGAGTCAGCTGAAGCCCAGGCACTAAGGTTACTCAGCCAGCGAATGGCAGAGCTGGAATGCAAACCCAGAAGACGGCTCCATCCGATGCCTGGTGCCCGAGGGTAGAACCCGTCTCCGTGCCTTCTGCAGCAGGTGACCGGTCGGTCACACGCAGGGACCTGCAGGCAGGCAGGCAGATGTGGCTCCCTCAGCAGCTGTGCGGCCTTCGCTAAGTCAGGCAACTTTGCTGAATCGCAGTATCCTCATCAAGATACTACCTGGCATAGATGTTGGGGCTGGTCAAACGTGCATGTATTTCTCCTCTCTTTCTGCAAAGGGAAAAGAGTCAAAACTTCCTGAACTTCAAGATTTCAATCAACTTTATCAAACACCCTGGCAAGGAGGCTGGGAGACCCCAGGCGTCCCTTGTTTGGGTGGAACACATGCAGGGAATGCCCGCGCTCAGTGGGACTGGATTTCTGGGTACTGAGTCAGTACCTTCTGGGGAGGCCATTCACTCCCGCAAAGCGACCCTCTTCTGCCCCCTTGTGCGTGGAAATGCGGCCCTGGGGACACGAGCACGCTCCGAGCACACGGTCATTACCAGCTCGGTCTCCTGATGACCGCTCCGGCCAAGGACCCCGGAACCGGTCCGCGCTCGGGCGTAAGGGGGGAGGGGGACTCAGGGGGAGGAGTCGGGGCTCCTTTCCTCCGCCGGAACCCTGGTCCGGGGGCTGGGTCCCCGCCCGGAACTGCAAAGCCGCAGGCCGGGCCGGAAGCGCGCGGCGCAGCGTGGCGGTGCGGAGGGAGGGAGCGCGGGCCGGGCCGCGGAGGACGCGCGAAGATGGCGGCCTTCTCGGGTGCGTGTGCGGCGGGCTGTGCGCGGGGGCCGGCGGGTGGGGGCGCCGGTGCCGGGAGCGCCGGGGGGAGCGGTCCGCGCGGCGCCTGCGGGCCACGGTGCAGCGAGGCGGCGCTGCGGCTCTGCGCGCTCGGGGCTGCGGGAGCGCCTGTGCGGGCGCCGGCTCCCCGGGCTCCCCGGGCCCCCCGGGCCCCCTCCGCCGCCTCCTCGCAGCCGCACCGGCTGCCCCGCCCGGGGACGGCGGCGGCGTGGCGCCAGCGGGTCCCGATCGCAGGCCTCCCGCCCGCGGACGTGGCAGCGGCGCTCGCGAGCCCGGGATGGGGCGGGGCGGGGAGGCTCCGCTGGGAAAGGACTCTCCGGCCTCTGTCCAGTTTTTTTTCCGGATCCTTCCGAAAAGTGAACGCCCCAGCGGGAACCTGTGATTTGTTAGTGTTTGTTTGAACGCTAGCACGTCGACACTAACGTTAGGTAGTAATCGAAGCTGGAAGGGAACGCGTTCATTCTCATACAGAGTCAGGCGTACAGTATTGGGAAATATTCATTCATTCGCTGTGTGACGCCCTCCTGTATTCCAAATAGGACTTAAAGGTCGTTTATCTAGCCTAACAGTTGCTATCTTTACCTCTTCCTTTATCATCATGCCTTTATGCACGAAGCTGCACTGAGCCTGCTATACACTTAAACGTGGAAATTTACATGCAGAAAGTGCAAGTTAGGCCTGTATTTTAATGTTCTTAATCTATAAAGGTGACTTCAGATGCTGTTGTTGTTGTTGTTTTAGTTTTCTCCTATAAACACATTAGGAACTGCAGGTTTTTAGTCCCGAGTCAGGACTTCAGGTGGCTGTAGTTACATCTTACAGCAGGAGGCAAGGGGAAGTCTACTCGGTGGCCGGTATTTTTGCCCCCAGTCCTCTCCTAACACGAGGGATTGGAGCCAGGCGTGTAGAGCCGTTCCAGGTTGTCATTCTACGGGTTCACTTCTTGGGGAGTCGTGCCCACCTTTCAGGGATGTCCGGGTAAAGGACTAGAAGAGTCTGTGATATGAAATAAGGACCTGTAGAGTTAAAGAACATGTTTTCCGTAAGTGTTAAAAATGTGATATGTAAAGAGAAGATGGCTTATAGCAAACATGCAGGGAACGTGACCACGCGGAACAAGGAGTCTGGGATTTGCTGAGTCTGTTGCTGCTCACAGTATAGCAGTTTCACTAGCGGCTCCAGCTGGCAGGATGCCGCATAGGGAAGACCATCACTCTCCTTTATCCAACCCGGTTGCTTTTCAGGAGAATCAGGTAGACGCTAATGGGGACAAGTCTTAGAAGGGTCTGCTTAGATACACAACTTGAACTCTTGGTTAGTTTTTCCATCTGTGCATTTTCCTGGGGAGATTGAGAATTAGGAGAGCCCTTATGAACAAGATTTTTATACTTGTCTGTGTCAGCTATGTTTATATCAACAAGTTTACAATGTAAAATTTCAGGGTTCTATCTATTGTGTTATTTGCTGGTATGGTTCTTCTAAGCTAATGCAAAGAAAAAGCTACCCCTGCAATGGATATAGTCAATTTGTAGATTTGTTTTATGTCTTTTCACAAATAATTGCAAGAACTACAGATTTTCCAGATTGGTTATTTGGAGGGCTTGGGAATATTTGAATATTGTTAATTTTTTTATAGGAATGTGTATTTTTGTAATTTATAATAATGAAAGCTTCATTTTTATAAATGCAGTCTTAAAATAAAAAGCACTTCCTATTTGGGGAGGAGTCGTAAGTAATCCAGCTCACTACCCTCCGCATTTCACTGAGAAATGATAAAATGAGAAAAATCTAATCAGAAGTAATCCCATCTATTCACTTGGGACTGGCTTCGAAGTAGAATTATTAAATATGTGAACAGTGAACAATGTGGTTCTGCACCTGACGTTTCCCATTACCCACGTTTTCTCCCCGGTCCTGCCTTTCCTGTTAGGCCGAGCTTTCATTCTGGCTGCCAGTGAGTGTGGGCTCTGAGGGTGTTCACGTGGTCCTAAGGTAGCCAGGGTGCATGCACGATTCCACATGGTCTCCAGATGAAGCGACCAAGATGCTGGTCGACCCTCTAACTCCGGCAGATGGGTCATTAGCTATGGGAACGCTGGGGGTTACTGTGTATTCTGTGGCAATTGTGCACCAGATACCATACATATTACCTGTAATCTTCCTGTATCCCTACAGGGTAGGTAACACCACCCCATTGTGTGTGGGGAAAGCAGGCCATAGCTTGCCCGAGGTTGCACTGCTAGTGAGAGCTTGGATTTGAACTCGGGTCTTTCTCCAAAGCTTCCCCTCTCTCATCAGTGCCACACTCAGGAGGGGCTGTGGTACTGAGCTGTGCTTCAAAGCCTTTTCTCCTCAGACAGTAACTTTAAGAGCCACATGATTTAAGTTTATGTGGTTTTTAAAATTAATTTTTATTTTCAGAGATGGGTGTTATGCCTGAAATCGCACAAGCTGTGGAAGAGATGGATTGGCTGTAAGTACACGAAGCTTAAATGTACCTGCAACAGCATTGCTTTGTCATTTACTAGTAACCAGTTGGTCATGATTTTATCAGATCTTTTTGGGTGTAGTTGGGTAAGTGAAATTAAGTTTTATTGTGATTCTCTTATAGGGCATTTCCTTTTTAAACTTTCATATATTTCTAGCTGAAAAGGATTAGTAGTATTTACCAAATAACATTTTCTTAGGCTTATAATTTAGCATGCCTACATGCCTCAATTAGCTTAGGTGATTTATTTTTATAACTAAAATTTTTCAAAATATGATTCTTTTAGTCTCCCAACTGATATCCAGGCAGAATCCATCCCACTGATCCTGGGAGGCGGCGATGTGCTTATGGTATGTTCCACAGGGTGAGGGGCTGGGAGCCGGGACACACAATCGGGGGGCTGATTGTGAACCACTGTAAGAACTCCATAGGCTTCAAGATGATATTTTCACCCAATTAATTTTATATATTTACATGCATTTAGGACACATACACTGCATTCACAGTATTAGGTAGAGTTGTGGGGAAAATGAAGGTAAGATGCAGCTTTTGCCCTTGAGAAGCTTAACCCCAGTAGCACAGTAACACATGCACACAGGTAATTGTCATAAAAGAGAACCATGGCACCTGGGTCAGCTTGCAAAGTTCTAAAGGATTTGAGTGGGGCCAGCTGTCCTCCTGGATGAGGGGACCATGGGGACTCTTCTGGGGGCAGTAGATTTAGGACAAGGGAGGATGAAAGAGGCATGAACTCTACGTAGAGAAGAGAATGCAGGTGTGATCCCAGAGCAGTTCAGTTAGAGCAGCGGTTCTCAACCTGTGGGTCGCGACCCCTTTGGCGGTCGAACGACCCTTTCACAGGGGTCGCCTAAGACCATCCTGCATATCAGATATTTACATGACGATTCATAACAGTAGCAACAACACAGAAGTAGCAACGAAAATAATTTTATGGTTGGGTCACAACACGAGGAACTGTATTTAAAGGGCCAGAAGGTTGAGAACCACTGAGATAGAGGGAAGCATAAGATAAGTGTGTCTGGTGGGGCGGAACTTGAGATAAGACGGGAAATACACAGTGGCTCCGATGACCGGGGCTCTTTCTCAGGTGTCACTTAAAAGAATTCGGTATTTGTTGGCAGTGGGGGTCATTGGACATTTTAAGGGGGAGTGTGTGACAAGGTTAGGCTTGTGTTTTATGAGGACTAATTTGGTAATAGAGTTGTGAGAGATTAGATACTGTTAGGACACTTTTGTAACCTAGGTTAGAATGCTGAGGCCTTAGGTTTGAGTGGTAGCAATGGGAAGAGAAAGGGGGAGTGATTCTTGAGGGAATGGCAAGGCTGGCAGCAGTCGCAGTGGACTGAGGAACCCTGAGAGACCTGGAGGCACCTGAAAGGCAAGGCAGCTGGTCAGGTGGCGACGTCTCATCCGTTAAGTTGACTTCTGTAATTGACAACGTTTTTTCCATTTAGGCTGCAGAAACAGGAAGTGGAAAAACTGGTGTAAGTAATAAAAACTTAAATTGACTTTGTAAGAGTTGATTTTTAAAGCAACTTTGTCCAGTAATTCTGACTTTGAAATATTTAATAAGGCAACCTCCTGCAGAATGTGACGAAACGGTTGCTTGCCACTGAGAGTGGTAGTCTTATTGCCAGCTAATTCTGGAATAACTCTGTAAGGTGTGGCTTTAAGAATATAGTTTTAAACTGGTCTTGGAGACATAGTGACATTACCTTTAGTATTTACAGTCACTTCTGAATTTTACTGCAGTGGCTCTAGTAATAGAGAGATTGCAAGTAGAGGCCGATTTCACATTGGCCCAGACTGGAGAAACAGGTCGTCAGTGTGGGTGGTATTTCTCCTCTTTAGTTTAGTTCGTTCTGCAGGTTCCCGTTCTTTGTTTTTGGAGCTGTCAGCTGGCTCCTGTTACCTTCGTTCAGTCAGCTGTCTGTGAGTCTTCCTGGAATTTGAGGTTTGGGCAAATGGGATGGCAGTCTAAAATATGTGTAATTATTTAATGTACATGTGTAACTTCTGTAATTTATGCTGATTAGTAAATTGGCATTGATATCTGAATGCTGATATATGGAACTGTTGTTTCTTTGCTAGGCTTTCAGCATTCCAGTTATCCAGATAGTTTATGAAACTCTGAAAGACCAACAGGAAGGCAAAAAGGGGAAAACAACAATTAAAACTGGTGCTTCAGGTAATGTTTGCGTAGCAGTATTGCCCTTTTGTATAAATTAGTTATTCTCCTCCCTGGCATGTGCAGATGTGAGGTTTGGGTGTGCATTTTTATTGTCAGTGTCTGCGTGGTGGTGTTGGCATTCGGTGCTGGAAGCAGGGATGCCAAGTGTCATTTGGAGCATAACTCATTTGTAAGTGAATTGTGAGGCAGATAGGATATGAACTATTTAGACCAGCCGTGGGCAAACTACGGCCCGCGGGCCAGATCCGGCCCGTTCGGCTGTTCTATCCGGCCCGCGGAGCCGAAAGAGCGGAGGGTTCTCTTGCTCTCCCCTCCGCTCCTTCACCAGCAGCGGTGTTAGCATGGCAACGTCGGGAAACACGGCCGCAGCTCCTTCTTCTGAGTCCAGTTTAAGAACCCATTGTGGCCCTCGAGTCAAAAAGTTTGCCCACCCCTGATTTAGACCATTGGCCTATTTAAAAATAATTTTGAGACTTGTAACAACTTTAAACCGGTGTTTATAAGAGATGGTTATAAATGAGAATGCTTCCAGAGGGTAACCAGAATGGTAATAGTTCTAATCATGTCCTATGAGGAAAAGAAACTGCATGTTTAAGCACGGAGACACAAGTAAAAGAGGTAATTGTTAAACCA